TTAGATCCCAGGCATTCGCAAGCCGTCTCTTGAGCCAAAATCGGTTCGAGGTTTTCGGGGCGGAGGGTTTCAGGAGTTTTTGCAGCTTGAGACTTCAAGGATAAACCTTAGGGTTTTGGTTTTAGGGGGGTAATTAGGTTAGGGACTGTCTTTCGCGGCTCAACATGTCGACTCAGGAGTCCGAGCATCTGTTGACTGAGCTCGAGGAGGCGTGGTGCGACGCCGAGAGTGAGTACCTTGTCAATCCTCGGAGCTTTCGAGGCTTCTGGAGCTCGCTCAAGCTTTCCGCTGCCGTAGCCAAACAAAAAACTCGGCACTTGCAATCGGACCGAAGAGCAAAATGATGAGCCAATTCATATTCCCACAAGGGCCGCTACGGGAAACAAGAAGGCGCTGCAAGGTTTGTAAGCGAAACTAGAACGTGGCCAGTCCGCACACAGCCCCCCTGGGGTTGACGCAGGATTCAGGATGACCACGGCCATGCTTGGTGAATCAACGGTAGCGCATGCTCTATGGACTCTATGGGCTACAACCTAATGTAGCGTATATTGTCACTTAGGTTACCCTGAAAGACATGGCTTGCCACCTCAGGACTCCCTAGCCTTGGTGCATGGGGAAGCCGGCCTCAAGAAAAAATTCCAAGACCAACCCGGTCGTGAAGGACCTTCTCGTTTGAGACAAGTGTCGGCGGATCCCGCTCCACACTGAGAATTTTCCGAAGGTGAGTGGCGGCGTCAATCTGATACTCCATCGAGGATGACCTTGCCATGATGAGGAGGAATAAGCATGAGTAGCTGCTTCCATCGGTGAGCCGTCATTGATGCAACAAACGAGCTGGGTTCTATCCTCAGTCGCAACCCAGACCACCAAAGCATCGCTTAGTTGTGAGTTGCGACCGCTGCAAGAACTGTTGTGCACAAACTGAACTCCGAGGCCATCACATCAGCATCGCTTTCCTTATTTGTGGCCACCAACCGCACACAACAATACTCGACGAAGCCGGCCATGTGAGGTTTGCAGCATGAAAAAAAACAGTTGCAAACTGCCAAGCACCTAGTGAACACTGGGGGGGCGCTTTGAGCGAGGACCAGACGGAAGATTGTGCTGGGCACTTCAGGGACTACCCATCCACCAAGGATCAGCGTAGAAAGCTGCTCCACGGCTGGAATGCTGCCATCGAATTGGGGTATCTGCTGTGTCACGACCAGCAATTCCAGAACATCCTTCCAAAAACAGCAAGGGACATGAAGACAGGAGCCGGGTTCGGGTCTTCATGGCAACAACCTCTGCAAAGTATAGGACGGCTTGTGTGTCGCCTAGATCGGGGGGGTCCTCACCGCGCAGCAATGTCCGAGATATCTCATCATCCTTCAGGTTGGCAAGAGCTCACAAGACGTCTTCGCGAGGGCGAAACACTCCTAAACAAAGCTGCGTCGATATTCCACTGGCCAGGTGCCACTCAATATTCAAACCCAAGACAAGAAAGCCGACACCACAAAGCTGTAAGCCCTGTACCTCCAGCTGCCGCTGGTCGAGCACGAACTTGATTTCATCGATGCAGCGTTGAAAGACGTCAGCCACTTCCTTGCAGCGACTTAGGGAAGAGCGCTTCAAACTTCGATGTCCAGTACCTCAGTACCTGAGTGCTTGGGTCTAGATCCGCAGTTCTGATCTCTGTATGCATCTTGCATGTGCGCAGCCGAGTCGCCTGTAATCATGTGTTTCTGCATGTGCTAAACGGATTGTCGTGTTTAGTAAAAGAGGTGGATAAACCGATAGATAGATCGATCGATTGGTAGATGTGCAAAGAAACTGAGACAGCTCGGCATATGTGTAATATTACAAATACATACGTATACACACACACACACATATATATATATATATACGTGTGTGTGTGTGTGTCAACGCACATCTCTTTGTGTGTGCACAGCTTAGTGTTCATGCGACCTGGGAGAGAAAGGAAGAGATAAAGAAAGAGAGAGACAGAGAGAGAGAGAGAGAAACAGGGAGGTCCAAGAAGACAAACGGAAAGACAGAAGAAAGAGACACATATACATATATGCATGCATAAACGCACATGTGCCTGTCGATGTGTGCGTGTATATATATATATGTAGACACAGATACGGATACAGACATGGATGTGATGAATACGGATATGACTATGGATGTGGGTGCGGGTATAGATGTGGATATGGATATCGATATAGACAGAGAGGAAGACAGAAATATATACATAGACATAACAGAGATTTGGATACAAATCTAGGCATAGATACAAACACAGATAAAAACAAAGATAGGCTTACTTTTAGGTGAAAGGAAAAAAGTATGCTAGGTTTAAGTAAAGCTATACGAGTAGCTACAGGTATAGATACAGGTATAGAATATAGCAATAGATATATAAACAAGAATATGTTATGGAAGTAGGTTTAGATATAGACATAGATTGACATAAATAGAGGTAAAGATACAGATAGATGTAGAGATTGAGGAACAAATACAGGTAAACATAGAGATGGAGATAGCGATAGTGATAGTGATAGAGATCAGGCTTTGGAGACACAGAGCTATAGACTGCAGAAATATAAAGTAATATAGGGGTATGGAGATATACAAAACAAAGATATAGAAACACAAAAACCGACACACACACACACACGCATATATATATATATATATGTGTGTGTGTGTGTGTATGTGTGTATGTATGAATGTATGAATGTATGTATGTATGTATGTATGTATGTGTGTATGTATGTATGTATGTATGTATGTATGTATGTAGGTATGTAGGTATGTAGGGATGTATGTATGTATGTATGTATGTATGCATGTAAGCATGTATGTATGCATGTATGTATGCATGCATGCAGGCATGCGTGCGTGTATGTATGTATGTATGTATGTATGTATGTATGTATGTATGTGTGTGTATGCAAAGGTATATTGGTATATTCATACATCTCTTTAAACACCACAGGCATGGAGTACTACAGGCCAGCAATGCAAGCAGGAATCCTTCCGCAGCTGTGCCACTGTTTTGTAAAGGTCCTGTAGGGTGATGAGAAAAGACAGACTTGACAGGGCAGCACGAGTCGTTTCTGCACAACTCGTATCCAAGTCGTTCGAGGCAACTTGCGCAGTACCGGAAGTCTGCGGGGTCTACTTGACAGCAAAAGTCTGTCGAAGCTGGAAGCATTGAAACAACATCCTCAAGCCCGCAGGCGCGTCCTTTCTTGGAACGGACATTACCACGGAGCCGGCAGCCGTTCGCACCCGAATTGCTTCGCCTTCTTCGGCTGATTCTTCAAGTTCTCCCGTCTTCCTGAGCAAAAGGCGGCAAAGCGCCTAAGGCGTTCTAGCTGTAAGATTCTATGCTGGATCATGACGCCGGCATTCATTTTGAGAGCCTTGTGCTCCCGTACTCGATTGCTCTTTTGCTCTTTCAGGCCTGAACAAGAACGGCCGTTATAAGTTGCAGGGGGCAACATAGGATCCCGATCGAAACATTTTGCAAGCTCAAAGTGAATACAAATCCGCATCTCCGAGGATGTACTAGGCCCTAACTAGGCAAACCTGACCCATATCGGCTGGGGCGCTGCTTCTTCAACGAGATGGACCGCTTGATAGAGGGCACAGCTCCTGATAAAGGTGTAGCTATACCGTGCGTACAGAGAGAAGGGGCAACAGAGACAAAAAGGAAAACTGACACAGAGAGCAAGCGAGCCAGCGAAGGAACAAGGAGAGAGTGGCCTTGGCTTCGTTCTCGCTTGCGTGCACATGTGTGTGCACGGCGCCTGCATGCATTCAAACTCAGTTGTGATGTATTAAAAAAAGACACAGCCTCTGCTGCCAACATGGGGGAATGGTTTCTGCCAAGATTGCGTAGGGTCGTGACCCTGGACCATGGAACTCCGGACACCAGGATGCAAGAAGGAAGAGTCACAAGCCAACCCCAGCGGACTGCGTTTCGGGGTTTTTCACGGTGAGCGACTTGTTCAGACCATGCCTTGGGAGGAGTCTGGTCTTCGTCTTAGTTTCCGTCGGAGCAGGCACTCGAGATGCAAGGAGTCGCCGGAGTCTCTTTCACACGAAAAGCCGAGGGATCCACATTGCAAGCTTGGATATTGAACAGGCTACTATAACCTTGGAACCAAGCCATGGCTTGGGCAGTGTGTCAGAGGCATCGTCTTTTCCTTTGCTGTATTAATTAATTGTGTGATCATAAGAATCATAAGGCATCGTAATCTTAAGTCATGTATGTAAAAACTCAATATGTGATCTGGCTTTATTTGCGTATGCCAGCAGGAGTCCGGGAAAAAATGTTTTGGAGCAGAAATTCGAAAATACAGCTCACGCTTTTTCTCGTGGAAATACGTGCGCATGTGTAAAGAGCTGATCTGAATCTCGCTAGCTCTGCAGTTTCACGGCATCTCCTTCTTGAATGTCGAAGATCCACATCACCACATCCTGTCAACTGGTAGCTGCACCGCTGCTGAAGAGACCATCCATTTGCCGTTGCCCTTTATATGTTAGGACCTATGTGCTGAGAGACCTATGCTTCGCCTCCCGCACTGCAGTAGTCACTAATCGTTCGACAAATTCGCGAAGGCTTGATGCACTGCCTCAGTCATTAGCCCCCATGTGGAGCAGGTGATCTTGCTGGCTCCTAACACCATATAGTACCCTAACTAGTAGGATCCTTATTATCAGGACCCCAAAATAAGGTACTCCTAAACCCCTAAACCCTAAACCCCTAAACCCCGCCTCAAGCTTCACCGGCACGGCGCCCTTGTCGATGCCCGGAGGCTTGTCGTCTCCGGCCCCGAAGAAGCGCGAGCGTAGCTCTTTTAGCAGGGCATCCGTGCCTGGGGCTGCAGCATACGTGGAATTGAAAACACAACCGCGAAGTCCACCCTGGAAAGAAAACTGACAGACAACATACTGTGCGATCTGAAGTCGATCTCTGCCAACAACCGGGAGCAATCAGAGCAATCAGAACTTCCGGGTTGAGATTTGGAACACAGGACTCCGTTTGGCTGAGGCAATGTCTAGGACTTCGTGGATCCTGGTGTGCTGAGTGAAGCAGAGCTGCAAAAGTCGGGATCCAAGCTCTGCAGCACGTCGCAGAAGACGGCCCAGTCCAACACATCGTCACCCTTGCTGAATACTAGAAATCAGCAATCATGCTTAATATCATCATGAGAACAGTGGCAATGATGAAGTAGCTGCTTGCTAACACGAAGAAGCGAACAAGAGGAAGTTGGTCCCCCCCTTGTTGCTATCCACCGTCGCCCAGAGCAGTTTCACAGCTTGAAGGTTCCATCCGCTACGTAGTTACCAATGTTGTTGTGGTTTAGGGGTAGGCAGGGGTCTTTATTATAAAACATAGTACAACGGCCCCCAAACCCTATTCTAATTGTTGTAGAGACTTCACGGTATGCGACGACCCACGCCAGTGTAAGCTGGTTGAAGGGAACCCCTCTTTTGCTGGGAGCATGTTGGTGTAAGGATCTCCCGGCTTACGGGTGTTGGCGGACCTTCGCATCAAGCAACTGCCTTTGTTCTTGCGAACAACTTTTTCTTGGATACCAAGAAACTACTGCTGCGACAAATGCGAAGTCTTCACCGTGCGAAACATGCAGATGAACTAAACCGTTTTGCACGTGCTATAGCTACTGCCATTGGATTTTCGCGTCTCCATGACGACAAGAGAGGAGAATGGCAACCAAGAAAAGACACAGCAAGAAACCTCAGCTAGCTTTATCTCTTGGAGTAGCAGAAGCAGTCAAGATGATCTCATCGCCATTGGCGGCATCGTCTTTGTGGTCGCCATCATTGTCAGCATCATCACAAGTCATCGCAGACGAAGACTCCAAGACAAGCCGGCAACTCCATCGAAAGGACAACAAACTGTGGCGTCAAGCATTAGCCCCTGGGTGCCTCCTTAGAGGGGCTCGGGAGTTTCCAACTTTGCGTTCTAGTCTCGAGTATATAAACAAGACTCTAAGGACATCGCCAGCGTATTGACACGTGCAAGCATACGGCTACAGCCGCTCCAGGTAGACCACGTGCCAAACTGCGCACTGCTACCCCCCGGGAAATCGCATGCCGAAAAAAAACTAACCCCGGGACCGTACAACCTTGTAACCCTAAGCCTTCAAAGCATTAGGGCCCCTAAACCCTCAACCCTAAACCCCTAAAGCCCTAATTAGGCCGGTTTTGGTCAGCATGGAGCAGCCATCCGGGGCGAGTCGCGGCTGCCTGGTGCTTCCGAAAGCAAGCCAGGACCGACTCGTAGGTCGGCTTCCTCGGGGGGCTCTCTTCCAGGACCCTCCAAGTACCCTCAAATAGGGGTATATGGTCCCAAATTAAGGGTATTTAGGGTCTTTAGAGGGTAGATGGAGGGTCTAGGTTCATGTTTGCCGTTTGAAGGGGGTTCCTTTAAGGGATCCTTTCAGGCTTCCTCTAAGGGATCTAGAAGGGTTCCTAAGTATGCTTTGGGTAGGTTATGGTATATTCTAGCACATTATTGTATAGCATGGTCCTTTATAGTAGTAAATCCGAAAGTGTCGGGG